CTTTAACAATTACTGTGGTCATGTAGCGTGTCCAACGCAAAGTCTACCTACATTATTTCCATGATTGAAGTTCCCATGTGGTCTAGTGGCTAGGATCTGGCGTTTTCACCGCCACGGCCCGGGTTCGATTCCCGGCGTGGGAAACCCGTTTTTTTTATTAAGCGTAATTTACATACGCATGTAAATTCCAGTTAATGAGGCAATGCTTTGAGGAATTGTTCTGTACATAAAACGGCAATAAAATAATAGGGTACACAGCATGTGGGTTCAAAGTTCACTCACACTGCACATGGGAGATCAAAGGTCGTAAGAGCATCATTAGGGGTTAGAATAATAGACCTTTTCCACAAGCAAATCTATCACTCTATGCCAACCTCGAGGCCAAGCACTACGAACTCAGAAAGAAGCAAGATAAAGAAAGGGAAAATGAAATGTACATATTTCGCGATGCTTAGGGAAGCAGATTTTTTTTAAAAGTCGTTTCCATGGCACTGTCCTTCGAACCGGATTTGAACCAGTGACCTAGGGATGTTTGTTTACTTATCTACAGTCCCCCGCTCTACCAACTGAGCTATCGAAGGCTGATAACGGCCAGCTTCTTTATTGATCAATCAATATTTGTCATACAATAGTTATAGAATTTTGATAATATTATTAAAAACTTAGGTATGAATATTATTTTTAAAATTTTTACGAAAAACATTCAACGGAAAGCCACGGTTTTTTGAAGCATGATTTGAGATCCAAAGCACAATACTTTGGAGGATGCGGGCGTCGATCCCGCTACCTCGCGCATGCTAAGCGCGCGCTCTACCATTTGAGCTAATCCCGCAATCGCCGCCTTTCCTGAAATATTTTCCAGCAATTGTTAAAAGATAAATCCCTCTTTACGAAATTTAAAATTGAATTTCTAAGTTTGATTCGTGTAGCATGGCGCTTAATTTATAGGTGTAATGCCAACATTTTCTTGAACATGCATCGCATAATGAACTCCTGTAAAACAAAATACGTCGATTCAAAATGCGTTTCATACAGCGGATCCGAAGTAAGCTTGTTGTTGAAATTGACTACAATATGTGGCGTTGCGCTGGTGGTTCAGTGGTAGAATTCTCACCTGCCACGCGGGAGACCGGGGTTCGATTCCCCGCTAGCGCATGCAATTACTCTCGGATGCATTGTCGTAATCAATAATACCCATGCATCATGTGGTTTCTTTTTCGCGCTTGCTGTGTCCAAAATCATCAGAAAAAACGGGTAATTTTAAAATAAAACGACATTGTTACAAAAGGCATAGCAAGTTCCCATGTGGTCTAGTGGCTAGGATCTGGCGTTTTCACCGCCATGGCTCGGGTTCGATTCCCGGCGTGGGAAACCCGTTTTTCTTCATTATGGCCGGCAAAAGATATTACGGCAATACAATCAACACTTGAATGAGTGTTATTATAGGACACGAACACTGACAAGGTTTGGAAGAATCGCCATTCATCGAGCTTGTTAAAAAGAAAATTGATATTTTGAACGAATAAAGTTGTGTCGCATTTTCAAGAATTTAATGTGTTTTTAATTGATTTAATGAGCAAAAAAATATGGAAGATGCGGGCATCGATCCCGCTACCTCGCGCATGCAAAGCGCGCGCTCTTCCATTTGAGCTAATCCCCCAGATCCGCAGTAACGCATTGAAATCTATTGTTACAATGACACATATCTATTTTGGTTTTTTTACATTTGATTACCCAAACAAACTATTTGCGAAAACCGCAAAATGAAAGCATTATTTTCAATATATTGCAGACATACCAAGCTAACCGGCAAAGTCTGTCAAATTATTTCCTGCCGAAATCCGGGATTGGGCTAGGGACCTTCAGATCTTCAGTCTGACGCTCTCCTACCTGAGCTATTTCGGCATACAGCTCAAAACGTGTATTCATATTCTTCAGGCGTTTTCGATCATCCACCTAGTTCTTATTCTACTTAAATTTACAAATTTTTCAGGGCTATACATTTAGCACCGTTAAAAATTAGGAAATTCAATACCAAATAACATTAAATTTGTTTCTTACCGCATTTTCGACATTGAATGATGTGTCGTTGCAATTGCAGAAGGTTATTCGCATAACCGTTAACGGATGCCAAGGCTTGATCCCCGACCCGGCGCGAAGCGCCGTGCGAGGGTACTAATTCCGCTGGGAGATTTATTACACCCGGGTATTGTGACAGAACATAGCGGAATCCAAAGTTGCTCAAATTCTATGTCGTGGACCGTGGACGTTCAATGGTCATGGTACTTGTGCGCATGCGTTAAATGCGAACGAGTGCAGACTGGTAATCAACGAACGTTCTGATTGGCTAAGACAGAAAGTTTGTAATTCAATGAGAACGTCAGCAATTTAACTGTCATTTCGTAAACATTTTTGTAAAAGCGTTTCATAAACTTTGTGCAAAGAAAGTAAAACGAGAAAAAACAAGATATATGAAGCATGACAGATAGCAAAGATGAACGTGGATACAGTCAAAACAAATCCGTGTAAAAGGAATAATTCATAATCTGCAAGCTTATAAATGTTTTCAAAGACAAAGGGTACGTGTTTACTTTGTTTATCTCGTACTTGTTTCGCGGTAAGAATAAGCCGTAATTGTATACTTTTCAGCTTTGTATGCCGTTCATTTGTTAAATTTTCAGCTTTTTCTGCAAACGCATAAACCTGTGAAGGGCTATTACACCTTTGCTTTAACTTCAAAAAATGTTTTTGAAAGTGTAATTTGAATTTTGGTATCAAAAATACACACTATATTTATAAAGTACACTGAAACTTTTAGCCGCGGGCGTTGACTTCAATTACAGAATAAAATAACATTTGAAGTTTTTTCTTTGTCTGTGAAGATTTTGTACTGTTTTAATCGTTTGAAACTTCGATTTTACACCGTTACTTAATTGCTGGCATGGTATAATGCAGCAAAATTGAACGGGCAATGTTTACACCAGCTTTGTGATTATTTTTGTATTGAATGATGGAAACTTTAAGACTATTTGAGTTTTGTGTCATTTCATAATATAAGTTTAGGTCAGGTTAACTCAGGAAATTGTGTACTTGGTTTGAAATAGCGAGGGGTTGCTGCATGCATGTATTTCTAGTATACTATTAGCAAAGCAAGTATTTAGGAAGTTAATGATTTTTATCAGAAAAATGTAAATATTTAAAAAAGACGAAACGTCTTTTTAAAAAACAGCGGAGATAAAATAATATGATGAAATTTAAATACTTCGCGGACAAATGTAAATACTGTATTTAAAAAAGACGAAACGTCTGTATTAAAAACAGGAGAGATAAAATAATAAGATGAAATTTAAATACTACGCGGACAAATGCAAATTTTTCGCGCTTATTACTAATCATGTTTCGCAATAGTGTGAAATAATTCAAAAGAGGAAGTAAAATAACGTTTCTACATTCTCCAGTTGTTGCGTTTCTACTCTCAATCCAGTTAGTCTCAGTTGTGATATATCTGGTTAATGAAATTGCTTAGTGCATACTGATCCAAACGTTAGATGCATGGTTCAGTAAGTAACATGCATATATAGTTCAGTATTTATTGGGTCAGTTAATTATATTATTCGGTGGCTCAATCCAGTTAAATAAGCATTGCTACGTGCTTTGTAACCAAGCCTTAAAGTGCCTATGTCACTCGTTGGATCTTTACGATACAAGCCTCTAAGCTATCTGCGTTTCCTGAGTCCCAAAATCCTGGGTTTAAACACGGCTATTTAATTTGAAACTGCCCATTGTTTACAGGAGCCCGGGACTCAGGGACGGCAGGTAGTTTAAAGACTGGTATCTTCAAAATTGTCGCACTAAATCAAAAAACTTTTTAATACATTAACTAACTTTTTACATTCTTTTCAAATGCATAAAGATTCCACGAGTGATATAGGCAACTTAAAGTGTTCCAAAAACATGTTCTGCAATTGGCGTCGCGTTTGTAGGTCACACGAACCTCTGTTCCTTCTACTACGTTCATCTTAACAAGAAGCGAGAAGTCTGTAGAATTTTTTAAATATTTCATGATTAAAAGAAAAACTGAAAGAACATAGAATCAGGAGAGTTTAAACTTTTCATTCAAATGACAATGACACAGCTTTGCTTTGCAGACTTCGTTCTTCACGCTTCTCGAGTTAGTATGTCTCTTCCGACTATATTGCTTTCATACTCATAGAAACCCAACAAATAACAATGATAATATCTTCTTTTTTGCAGCGCCGTTCGAACACAACAATTACGACTTAAAACAACTAACAACTTATAAAAAATTAAGATACTCTAATCTCTAAATTTTTAAAAAGTTAAATATAGTACATCATGCAGCGACTCAACATACGTTAAATTTAATTACAGTATATGACGTAATGTCTTTGGTCGTGACTGATCTCACGTCACACTTCTCGGTTTTAAAATTTAAATGTCACTCACAACACCAAACATGCAAGAGCAAAGTGTCTTCATGCAGGTTGATCTGATGATTAGACTGGAACCTTTGGCGTCGATGGCGTCACTTGACAACATAATGTAAATATTCTTTAGGTAAATAACTTCTTTCATCCCTATCTATATAGATCAAAAGAACCTACATTGATATGCCATACTTCTAAACTGCGACGCCTTTGTTCATAACAATCGTATCCTTAGTGGGTTGTGAATGTAATCGTAGTGTGGTTATTACATTTATTTATAGTTAAACAAGAGCAGTGATAAATGTGATGAATTATATAGCTGTTGCTGTGAAATAATAAACTTCAATTAATTTTGTTATAATGGTTGAATAAAGCGTTCCAATGACACTGCATGTACCAGGCAACTCAGAAGAAAATGCACATTGTGGTGAAAATGTAATATAAGCTTAACTAAACTACTGAATACCATGCAGTCTTTTGTGTCAATTACTAAAATTTATATAAAGAAAAGAGATACAAAAAACACTTTAACAATTTATTTTTGATTAAAATCACCAACAAAACTGCATGCAAAACTATAGTCAAACAACAAAAAAGTTCATCTTCATCTCGTTTCCTTTAATGCTTGTTTACGCTTCTGAAAAAAAATTGAAAAAAGAAAACTTAGAAGTGAGATCATTTTGGGACAATAATCGTTATACTAACTTTACTTTGATTTGAAGAATTTTAGGAGGATTGAACAATCATTCTTGCTATAACGTTTTAAATAGTACATAGGACTTATTACGTACTTTTTCATGGCCGATTATAATCTATGACCATTTCATTCCAACCAGCACAATCATTAAGACCAGCCAAATTTGGATTCCACACACTTAAACACTGATCATATTGTAATGATTTAATGTGACCATCGCCAGAAATTTGCCACTGTAGTGAGTTTTTAGAACATGGTTTGAGAACAACTTGTTTGTTGGTTGGGGTTTTAACATCAAAGCAGTTCCCACTTCTTAAATCTTTTATGAATTTTCTTTTAAGAATTCTAAAATAACTTGGAGGAAGTTTTACCCACGAGAACCTCAAGGAATTTCCGAAGCTGTGCAGATAACCATATTGCTTGTCTGTTACCGTGAACTTTACTCTTCCTAAAAGAGAATTTCATAATGAAAAAAATTCTGTCACATGCAAAGCATAAGCACAGATATTTTTTAAATTTTTGCGGCTTGTACAAAATGTAGTTAGCTACGAAACAGTACATATATAAACATATATTGTTGCTCTGACTTGAACCTTTCATCAGCCATATTTTATTTTCCAACAGTTCTTATAGAGAGCGGTAGGATTTGAGATCAGTTCCGCCCCACTCATTTCTTTTGAAACTGCAATAGCGGGCCGAACTGAGTATGTGAATAAACACCCTCCCAGTTATCGCTCTAGCAATGGCCCTGAATTTAAATAGAATTTAAAAACCCCGTGGATTAAGTCCTTAATTCACTTTTTTGGGAGACCACATTTTTGTGGCAATCACCTGTCTTTACTGTGAAAAAATTTAAAGTCCAAAACTTACAATACTGAAATAGATGTTGAGATAACGTAATAGAGTTTGATGTAATTTAATCCTTACGGGAATGACTAAATTCGGCCGCACTCAGGAGAACGAAAACCAGGAAGAGAGCAAAGTTTAAAGAAGCCATTGGCGATATTCAACTTTCCTTTTTAGCTGTGACTCTGAAAGAAATTTTAACACACAAATCAATAACAAACTCACGTTACCTAATCCCCATTCAACGTTAAGTGTGTAAAAATTTTCCAAATGATTTGTAATATATAGAGCTGAAAGTACATTTTTAAAGTTGACAAGGACCTCGTATAATACCATTTCTACTAGCGATAATTTTCAGCAAAGACAAACGTAATTCTGCACACATTAAACAATCACTTCGGCTTCTATACACAATTTTTGCATTACCTGTACTTCTGCGGCATAACGCAGACAGTTTATAAACTCTCGCATCTCAAGTAAACGTGTTTTTGCTGCAAACCGTAACTGAGAACGTCACAAAATCATCACAAACAAAGATAAAACGTCAAATGCTATCTTTCGAATATTGTATATTGAGTGATTTCAGTCGACTCTAAAAGTTTTGTAATTACATACTCTATCTTTAGTGTATTAAAATTCAAATTACGCTTTCAAAAACATTTTTAAACCGATAAACCGATGTTCATCGGCTTAAAACTATATCCATGTTGAATTGTTATCACGTTTCATTTTGCACGACGTGCATTACGGCTAGCTACGCTGCCCTTGGCTGCGATTAGGCGAGTTTCATGCATACTTTATTAGGCTACCTATATTAAATAATTATACTCATTTGAAACCTGTTGTTTTAGCAATAATAGGGACAGACAGCTTTATCCATTATATGACTTCATTTATCAATAAAGAGATGATGTTATAGGATATAAATTATATATGACAAATATTCCCCTTTATGTTTCACAAATTTAAGACGGATATTCGCTTGATTATTCTCTTATTCATGCAGTAGAATGTCGCCATATACAAGGTGCTTGTTTTATAATATTACCTTTTGCATTATTATAATTATTACCTTTCGTATTTATTTTCTATAGTTAGGTATACGAATGTAGGCTTGCATATGCAAGTAGCGCTCTCAAATCCTAAGATTACCTACGTAGAATTATGCTCCTATGACGGCGTGTAAATTAACGTTCGTGCATTAGTAAAAGATTTTTGAATAAGAAAATAACGTTCCATCATACCTGAAATATCTTCAACTTTGTTTGGCTTTTGCGGTTACTGGTTCCAATGTAGTCGCAAGGTAATGAAATCCGTGAACAAATCACTTAGTTTTATATGTCCACTTTAATTATCATAAACAGGCCCGTAGGAATTGTATTCAAATTTCTATTGATTAAGCTAAGTGTTGTTTTGAGAAACACTCTGGCCCCTCTCCAAATTACATGCATAAAACGTACCTCAGTTGTTCTGTGCAATATCAAACTTCTCTTACCATTATGCATGCATGATATGGGTCTGTTTTAACAACAAAGGAAAATAATTATAACTTAATTGATATTGGTTATATGGTGTTATGAAAATTACTTCGCTGCCTCTACAGGGTGTCTCAAAAAAACCCGAAAACTATTGAAATCACTCATTGTTAAAATTTGAAAGCCGTGTTCACGAATTTTAGCCCGTGGGGATTTATCATAATTAATGCAACATATAAAATGCTAAATACGAAAAATTTGAAATTGTGAATTTAAATTAGCGTTGTTATTGCTTCGAAAGAAAATGGTACAGCTAAGTAACCGCGGAACAACAGTGTTTATTGTGATAAACTATACGCTTACCCAAAGAACAACGGAAGTGCGAAATGCTTTTCAACAAAGCTCGACAAATGGGTACAAACAAATTTTACTGCATCATGTATAAAAATGCTTATGGCAAACATTTATAGTGGGTCCCAACAGAGTGCTTAGGCATTCAAACTCTAACAATTACATTATTATGGGTGATTTCAATAGTTTTCGAAAACTATTGAAATCACCCATAACAATGCAATTGTAAGAGTTTGAATGCCTAATAATTATAAGCACTCTGTTGGGGCCCACAGGTGTATATACAGGGTGAGTAAAAAAAACCTGACACCTTTGAAATTCAAATTAGTCGCATAGCGGCTGTAATGTGGCAGAAGTTGCTTAAAATATTTCATAGGTATACGAAGCATATCATATTAATTAACCTAGAGCATAAAGTTTGTTCCCATTGGGAGTTAAAATGCATTCTAAGCTCTGTAAAAGCAAAATAACTGTTTTTGTTGATTGTACATGGGAATTGTCATATTCCAGGCATAAATTCGCAGCTAATTTGAATTTCAAAGGTGTCAATTTTTTTTTACTCATACGCATGTTTATGCACACACACAAACATATGATACGTGCAGTCCAACAGCTTTAGTGCTAATCACGCTTCCTTAATATACATCATAAATACTTATGCGATCTATCAATGTCATACCTTGTCGCCGATGTTAAGTATGACACACACCAGTAAGGGTTGGAATAAAATGCGGATACGGATTGCGGTTGGCGGATGCGGATGGGAAAATACGGATGAGGGGGTAAAATGGGAATAGGAAAATGCGGATGAGGAATAAAATGCGGAGGGGAAAATGCGGATGAGGGGATAAAATGCGGATAGGAAAATGAGGATGAAGGGATAAAATGCAGATAGGAAAATGCGGATGAGGGGATAAATATGGCTGTGTCCAACTGACGAATTTTTCTTATAATCGAGCAAGTATTCAGGTTTTTTTGCACTATTGAAGGTTATTGCTCGGTTAATGATTTAATATTAAAAGCAATATTCGCTGACGCATCCAAAGCCGTTCGCTGGGGAAAATAATAAATAATAATAATAATAATATAATAATAATATTAATAATAATAATAACAAGACGCCTGTTCTGGCGTTAACTCCGGCGCACGTGCCAGTCTTCAATATAGAGCTTCTGAACATAAACAATACAGTTCATATTCGCATTTAGATGCCTTGCGAACCCAAATGTTCGATCGCGAAATTCAAAAGGACATCGTACTTTAAAAAGTATAGAAGTTCAAGTGTTCAAAAATGTAAATAAACCGCATGAGATATTCGCTTTGTCTTACACTTTGCCTTTGGAATTCGCACTTATATAGTTATATTAAATCTTCAATCCAGTGCAAACTACGACGTGTCAACGCGCCCATACACGACCACATCATCATGTTAAACGGCAAAATAGCAGCGATATTATTAAAATAGCACCAAAATCAACATGTATTAAATATATTCTTACCCCAATTCAATCTAAACTTAGTCAAACAGCATGAAAAGAACGGTTTGTTTGTTTGTTGCTCTTGGAGGAATTGCCGTATCATGCGAGCGAAATCGAATCGCGAATCGGAAAATTAGCCAAAGCTGTGCACCACAACTCTTGGCACATAAGACTGGGACGTAGATAAATACGGTTACATACACATTTCAAATACTAGAATGTTTCGCGCCATTCAGACTTACGACGACGAAAAATAAAAAAAAAAACCGGGGCGAATTTCAACTCCGTCGCTGACACCGGAGTAATAAACTTTAATTAATAAGAGGGTTACAATTGTACATTTTTACCCAAGCGGTATTCTTCCAAATGGCCCTCATTATGATACATAAAGATAGGTTATGCGGTAGCTAATTATGTACAAGAATTACATTAAAGGATTATAATTATACAACTCACAGTTAATGGACGAAACGATATGCACAAAGGAGAAATATATGTATACGTGCAAATAAAGCACAATGACTATTTAATATACAACAATGTATATATACAACACAGTAGACGAAACAATATAAACAAAAGAAAGATATAAGAATAAAATGAATATTGAATAGATTGCACCCGTTCCTCGTGTTCTAAAACACATATGCTGACTATTCTATGATTTAGAACGCCAGTTATATCTGTACCAGGTGATCACCTCGCTAACCTGGCCGAGGAATTTTCATAGGTCTGGTGCAGCGTTTCCACTTGCATGGATTTTTCCATGCAAAAGGAATTTTAGCCCTCTGTAAGGAAAAATGCAAGGAATTGAAAAACACAAGGAATTTGCAAGGAAAAATTATCTTCTCTAGGGATATTGCAAGGATACTCATAATATCTTGTAAAATAGTAAAAAAGTAAAGTAACATAAACCGGCTTTTGTAAATATGAGAGGCTTTCGGAACAAAAACACGAATCACAATCCTAATACGCACAATACACGTAACTCTAACTTGGTCTTACTGATTATTCCCGTGTTTTCCCGTGTGCAAATTGTGCATATAGTTCAATATAGTTCAGTGTGTTGGGGGGTCGGTCAAAGTCCACTCACTTTCGCTGCCCACTTCACTGACACTGTAAGTACAAACGATTTTAAATTTTAATCATGTCATAAATATGGATGATTCCGATTCGTAAAAAGTGTAGTAAAAAAGCGAAAAATGCGCAATAATTTTTATCTGTGCCTGCAAGGAATTTCTGCAGAAAAAAAGGAATTTTAGGGATCAAAAGAAGGATTTTTTAAATTTGGATGTGGAAACACTGGTCTGGTGATCACTTCTGCTAAGTTAGAGAAAAACATGGCCGACAGGCAGGGGCGGCGTGTTGTAAAACGATTACATTCTTGTAAAATTCGTGTGAAAACGAAGTCGACTACTGGAAAGAAGTTCTCTAGAGCTATACCTCCATTAGCTAATAGATATTCTCGTCTGTCTGATAACACTCCTGGCACAAATGTGAACACAGAACCAGATGTATTTTCCTCGGAAGACTTCAATGACAATGTAGACACTTTTGACAAAACTCACAAAGCCACATATCCATTTCTGTCTAAGCATCATCAACGCCGCATTAAAGAAAACAATAGTTGGAACGCCATAAGGCAAAGTCTCTTAGAAGCTCGGCTTGAAGAAGAAGCATTTGATTCTGATACTGAAAGATGTGTAGCGTGTCAGAAGAATCATGCATGTTGTCGGTGTTTGGAATGTGGTCCAAGGCAGTATTTTTGTCTTGATTGTGCAAAATCAACCCACGAATATCGAAATTATTTCCATCAACTGGAAATATTTAAGGTTTGCAAATATTTAAATAATATTTAATGAGTGGTTTACAGGCTTAATACTCTTTCACAGTTTCACAATTAATATGTACATACACTGTAACTGTTGTAAACCTTCAAATTAATGAAATTATTAGTCCACAAACAGCAAGTGTTGCCGAATATTTTGTTATATTTTAAATACCATACAAGGGGAAAGTGTTGTGAGTTGTAACAGGCATATACTAATTGTAATAGATTATATGTGTATGATTATTAACTGCAGTAAACTTGTGTACCTACAAGCTAACATACTGGAATATTATATATATATATATAATATATATATAATATATATATATATATATATAATATATATATATATATATATATGTTTTTTTATGCCTAGGATAGCTGTTTTGTGTCATTAATGATGAATCACTCTGTGTTGTCTTTGCCTCATCAAAAAAACTGTCCTTGTGCAGAAGGAAGACTTGTTATGTGTATAGATCAGAATGGTGAGTTTTCGTAGTATGTTGCAGTATTTAACAGTCTGTATAAAGGTGTAATTGAAATGTTATTGTAGATTTGTAACAAATAGTAATTTACTCTGCATGTTATGTAATTAAGTCCCTGATAGACAATGTATTAACAGTCTTTAAAAACTGGATACAGTACTTTCATCAGTACAGTACTGACAGCTAACTTTTTACCAACTATAGTCTAGGGCCGAGGAACCATTTGGAATGTGGGAGGTGGGGCAAGACTGTGTCCAGAGTAGAAGTGCATAATAAACAATAAATGTATTACTACCATTTGAGAGTTACCATGCAGTATCCATATTCATTACATCAATAAACTTTCAGTTTATTGATCAAAATTTTAAATTTTGGGATATGTATATATGGAGGTTATGATTTTTGGAGGCACCTTGTATGTGCCGTTATAATGTACAAATATATCATAATTTAATTATACTACAGGTTACTAGCACAAAAAAATGGTTTTGTTCTGTCCGTGTGAAGATGATGCTGTAACCCTTGTGAAACTACAATTATGGCCTGGTTCAGCAACACGACCATTAGTTGCTTTCCACTTCAAACTTTTGATGATGGCTGAAGCACTTCTATTGGAGTGTCATGTATCTCTTAAGAAGTTTTGTGATATGTTGAAGTTAAATAAATCAAACATGCTACCGAAATGGGTGAGAACCATATCCAAATGGTGGATAAGTTCTAAATGGAAAACAAAATGATCTATTATTAGAACTTATCCACCGTTTAAGCTAAACGCCTTTCGAACAACCGTGTGTGACAATGTGGTGTGTAACAACATATGTATATACTGTATGAATATTTAATATTTCTATAGATTAAAAATGTTTATAAAGTATTAAACAGCGATTCGTTTGATGAATTTCGGTAAATATTTTAGTTATATTTCATTAAATGAAATAGTAGTGTTATAATACAAGCTGTGTATGCTTTGTGTCTAATTGATGCAGTACATTCATACCAATCAACTATTAGTGGCATTAATGTTTGCTATCCACATGTGTAGACATTTGTGAAATATAGTTTAGTGTTTAATTGATACTTAACCTTTACATTTATTCTTTTACATATTGTAGGTATTACCAATACTTATTTAGGACTATGAGACCATATCTTCCAGAGCCTACCCTTGGTAGGGAGTGTCCTCTTTGTCCTGATGTGAGTGTGCAGTAAATATTTTTTAATGTAATTTGATTAAGCACAATAGACATAAATTATATGTGCTTAAGAGCTATTTGTAACAACATTTGCATGAAAACAGTGAAAACAAAATGGTAGAATTGCCTATTATACATTTATAATAACGTCCAAATATTGTAAATTTTAATTTCCATCACAGTATGTGTTTGCATTGAATATTTATTTCAAAGCTTTTCAACTCATAAGAACGGATCACGACATGATATAAGGATTATACTTATACTACTACCATAAAAAATAACTCCATCAATCTCATTGAACAAACATTGTTTCATTTCATCAAGGGGAAAACAGATGGTACTCCACTTGAAAATGTCATGATCGAATCTATGGATGGATGCTTTGGGCTGACCAGAAAAAAATCAGCTGGTGCAAATGTTATTCCTCCTAGGCACTGTGATACCTTTTTTGCCAGTTGCAGTGAAGTGGACAGCTATGTTGACGACTATTCTAGAGATGCTAAAGAAGCCCCCACGGTTAAAAAATTAACTAATCTTTTCAAATTTTAAATTGCATATATAATAGTAAAATGTCATTAGATTTATATAAGCATGGGGTAACATTAAACCTCCCTATTTGAAAACACTTGACTTACGCTGAAGATATGTGTATATATATGATGCTCATTGCCTTAAGTGCTACCTGCTCTGATGATAACAGTAGTTTGTAGCTAAGTTCTTTTCTCGTCTTGTCAAGCCAGTACCCGTAAATGGTTGAGTCCTGCACAAGATGTCCAAGGTCATTTAGGGAGGATGGGTAATAAAACAACCAGTATGCATCTGCAGAGTCGGTGTAAATGGGAAAGACATACCCTTCATGTTGAATACAAACTTCATAGTTAGCCACAAGTGATTTCAGGGCGTCTTCTGAGAAATACTGTTTTCCTACTGATTTCAAAAGATTAAACTCAGTTTCGGTTATTTTGAGGTCTACTACCTCCAGATCTTCTTCTTCGATGATACACGTTTCAGCTATGGCAGCCTCCACCTTGTCCATGTCTATTACTTTTGACAACGCCTCGCGTATGTTTTGGGTATTCGTAATGGGTAAGGTCCTAGTTTCCACGTTTGCTGCTTCCTCAGTTTCACTGTCGTCATTTTTTGTCAATTCAAAAATAATGCTATCTTTGTGTTCCATAATCTTCTTGATCTGGTCAGCACCATAGCCGTTTGGCTTTCTAAGTGGAATATCATTTGGAAGGCCAATGATCTTAAACCCTCCTTTCGAATACGGAACTTTTGATCCTGGTTTCCCACATGCCTCACCTAGAAATATAAAAAATTGTAAAATATGCAATTTAACACACTAAACCATTTTTGGATAATATGGCAAGATAGACACATTGACTGAGATGCGTATAAATGCTGTCCATGCCTGAAGAACCGGCTTGACGGTTGCCGTCCGGTCACTGGGCTAAATTAGGAAAAAAACAGTTGTTTCTTCTGTGTGTACACAATTAAGTGTGCAAATGCTTATGTACATTTAATTGTATACTGACGGACCCTAACCCACAGACAGGCAGTACGCCCATTAAAAACACATTTACGCACTCTATTTATTGTTGAACAATTCTTGGATATCTTTACGCGTGAATTGTGCACTGCCACTGGGACTATCCGCATCTGCAATACAAGCATATTCATGTTATGGCAAGTTTACAAGGGATTCGTTTTCATATTTCCACGAAACCATGCAATATTTTGTACACACTACCATTAAAATGTGCCATAAACTTCAATATGCTCTGATTTTGTAACAAAAATTGAACACCGTTTTCGGAACCATATTGGCTTATTGATCCACTCTCAGGCTCCAATATAATAAAGCTGTTTCGCATCCAAGTGTCAAGATATGAAATCTAAAAATATAAATAAAAAAGGCGTACCGGTACATTGACATTGTGCACAACACTACTACCTACTCGGTACCGTACGTATACATACATATATGGTCATGGATCCATGGAGTATGGCTATATTATAAGATCAAATGATGAAAATATAGTCAAGTCGTTTTAATTTACTCACTTGCTTGATAAGATTTTTTGTTTCCCTTTTAATTGCTTTTTTTTCTCTTCAACAGACATGGTCTTCGGATCAGCCTTTCCAAGTTTTTGAGCTTCATGGTTCCATTTTTTCTTTCTTCTTCACTGATGTCTTTCCATTTGGACGCAGCCAATTTCATCTTCTCTTGATTAGAAGACGTTCCTTTCAAAGCATCTACATAAAAGAGGAAAAAGTTTATACTTTTATTTATTCACAAATTTAGAAACTTAACAAAGGAAACCGTAGTACCTACAAAAACAGTAGTTTAATATACAGAGCAATAATCAATATAACAACATGATAAAAACCACACAAAAAGTAGAATACTCTTCTCACCTGAACTTAATAAGTTTGAAGTAAACATGTTGTATCCTGAGGCCATGCGTTTTATTGGAGGACACTTAGTGTATTTTGACATGTCTTGCTCTAGTGCTGCAGGTTCAAAGTTTCTTTTTCTCTCTTCTTTCTTTCATTGCCAATCCACTTCTACACATTAATAGAACAAGACAATTTATCATTAGTCAAGATTTGTCTTGTTGTACGTGTGTCAGTTTAAATTACTTCATTACTAACCAGTGAATTATACAATGAAATTTATTGCAGATTATTAGTGCATGATGTTTAAATTATAGAAATTTAAAAAATAATGTTAATTAACCAAAAGGTAAATAATAAAATCACTTCAAAATACCAGTTACATGTACCACAGAATACCAGTTTTTTCGATAATTGTAAAAAAATTGCTTGATGGTTAAATTGATTATACTTGTAGGCAAGGGCATAACTGGAACAATAATGGGAGGTGTTTATAATTAATTCACATATTCAGTTCTGACTTCTTCCCTAGAGATTTCTTTGGTAAGTGCAATAGCTTACAAAAGAAATCTGTAGGGCACTGAACTGAATATATGAATAAATACCCTTCCCCCTAATTGTTCTATTTACCCCGCTTGCAGATGATTCCCCTAGGCTAATAATGCCATTAATGCAGAAAAAACAACAAAATTTATCAGTTCTTTTTGTTTGCTCAGTTGCTTCATATTCTGGCCAAAAGACTGTATAAATCAATATCAATCATTGTCAATATTATCTAAACTTAAATACAAACTTACACTAAAGTTAACTCATAAAAGACTTTGAGTAAAATTTTTTACCATTTCAGATAGAGTAAAGGAACTACAGTACATAAAAAGTACAATACAGTGCTTTCACAATTTAAATTGTATACTTTTTACTGTGGGGGAGCCTGTCTTGACTTTTGAATAACCAGACATCCTCCCTCCCTCCTCCAATCCTCCCTTCCTTTGATAGAGTCAAACTTTTCTAAGGAAATTTCTTTAGAGAAGCGAGAATGCTGGTACAATAGTTCATTTATTTTTTTATCCCATCAAGGCATGGATTGTTGAGCATTTTTCGTTTTCAGGAAAACTAATAATCATTATTATCAATAATTTGGCTTTGGGGTAAAACAACAAAGGGTGTATTAATTGTTAAATAGTATGGGTATAAATATAACTAATTTTAGATACATAGGTCACCTGCTTCCTTGCGGATTAAGTTTATTGATTGTATTGCATTGTTTCATTTTGCAAATGTCTCTGGAATGGCAACATGAAGGCTTGAAGCATAAATCATATTATGATATTTAAAATGCTAATAGCAGCATTTTCATGGAACATATTTTCCTGAATGTTTAAGTTCATATACAGTGTATCACTATCATTTCGAATAAGCGTATAGGTTGTTACAATATTTAAACTAACTAGGTTTCTAATATTAGTCCTTTTCAATATAAGTGTATATAACAAAATCAAAACAATATGCAAATTTCACCAGCCACGGTGCATAATATGCAAATATAAAAAAAATGAGATGCTTGCGAGCATAATTCTATATTGAGGACTGTTAAGAAATTAAAGTACGATGTTTCAAACAGCGATAAATCAAACAAGATAAATCAAACAGCGTATTCTGCAAAATTGATGAAATAAAGCCTCCTGACAACCAGCTACACCTGTCTATATATAAAAATCAACTACAATCATGATTATTTTTTTTACCTTAACTTTTTCAACCGTCGTTTCTTTCTTTCCGCAGCTTTTGTTATCGTATCCTCCATTTCTTTTGAGGCAGAAATCATTCCGTTGTTATAAAACGAGCTTAGTATACGCTTCTGCTCATCACTTAACATTTCATAATTTCGCGTGGCAGCCATTTTGCTGAACAATAAACGCTATATTCGAGCCACCTTAAATGAGCGACCTCGGGTTAGCGAGGTGATCACCTGGTACAGATATAACTGGCGTTCTAAATCATAGAATAGTCAGCATATGTGTTTTAGAACACGAGGAACGGGTGTAGATTGAGAGAAAAATAGAACAGGTGAAAAGTCAATGGGTGTAACATATATACTGTAAGTGACACCGCGGAAATTGGTAGAATTGAAAAATACTTAGCCGCAATTCTCAATACTTAGGCGAGAAACTTGGTGAGA